CTTTGGTGCTTTAACCAAAAATAAACAAAAAAGCAGAGTCCCTAACACAAAATTCACCGTAAGTAATCTAAACACACTGAAAAGACATGCAAACAGTACACGTTAAATTCTGTTGTGTCGAACTAAAGTTCAGTGTTGTTCACTAAACCAGTACCTTCACTTAACATTAATTACATGTCCACCAGGAAAAAAGTACCAGAAAAATCCCAGTGAATTTACAATTACTCGTAGCAAGTGTTATACGGTCCCGTATAAATTGCATTTGCATGTAGACGCGTCCAGATGTAGACCAAATCGTTTCGCAAACAAGTATGCAAATACCAAGCAAGCGTTGTCGCGAGTCTAGATGGGGAATGTTAAATATGTGTGTGAGCAAACACCAGTTTAATCTACGCCTTATCGCCATTGGGACGTTGTAGTCTCGCCTCGCCTCGCTTTCTGTGTACTGCCGATATTACACAGGGTTGATGCGCGTTTTTTATTTTCTTGGCAATTGCTCCGGAATTGAGTTTGTATTGCATTTTTAGGAGTAACGATATCTGTGCTTTTTATTTAAAGAATTCTTTTAATACGAGTACAGTTTTGAATATTGTGTTAGTCTAGACGTTAGGGTTAAACCTAATCAACTAAAGTGACACGGAAAGTTACCGCTAATAATGAAATTAGACCTGGGGTTACATGTTGGCTGTCGAAATATGTGACGATACATACATATCAATTTATACTATTTAGGTAAATAACCTTTAATGAAATAGTTTGGATATTTTACACACAAACACTAAATCATTCACGAGACTATTGCCAAATCTCATTCGTCATTCGTCGTATTTATTCCGTAATAGCCATGTACATGACCTGCTTTCTACATAGAGCATGTTATTTGATAATTGGTTAACGTAGTAACATTGATTTACTTAGACAGATCTCCGAGAGGCTAATAGGCGGCTATGAGGCGGTCATGCCGGGCTTAAGGAGATTTGGTTAGCTAAAGAGGAGCAACAATGCTATTAACAATTTGTGCATAGAATTACAGCAGTATTATTCTTGACGTTAATTGGATATTATTACGTGATGTGACAAAATATTGACTTTGTCTTTCGTTTTAATGTAGCTTGTGTAGCGTGTGAGGTAAGTTTCAGCATAAATTGAAAGACAATATTGTCTTTTACGTGATCATCATCATGGCACTATAGGCACAAGTGTCATAGTTGTTACACATTAGAAATAGTGTCAACGCATTACTATGAACAGTTATTAGTTATACAAAGAAGTTTATCGCATCTCATTTCTAGGGTAATAACCGTAAAATACATTCTATCTTCTACAATTCTACTTCGAACACACGTACAAACGTTATATACGATACTTTTTACTTGAACAAGTTCGCTTTCTTTAACCGAGAGCCCTGTAAACACATCGCGACTCGTGCGCCGTTACTACAGCAAATAACATCAATTGATTCGGGATTTGTTGGTACAAATCCTTGTGCTGGTATATAATACTTCTAAACATAGAATTTTCTTTGAAGTATATTTAAAATAATTTCCAAGAATACTTCATCATTAAATATCAATATTGATTTGGTAAATACGTCGTGGTGGTCCGGAGGTTTAAGACGCCCGCTTCTCATGCATGAGGGTGTGGGTTCGAAACCTACCAAAGGCAAGTACCAATGTATCTTTTTCCGAGTCATATAGTCTAAGATTATTCAGACACCACTGACAAACGGTGAATTAAAACATCGTGTGGAAACCTGGGCTTATAATTTCTAATTATAAGTTTGTAATCGCCAACCCGAATTAAGCAAGCGTGGTGATTAATGCTCAAACCTTCTCCGTGTGAGAAGAGGCTTTGCTCAGCAGTGGGCATTTATAGGCTGTTGATTTGATGATGATTGATTTGGTTGCACGTACAATAGCCGTATAAATGAACAGAGTATGGATTCTACTACATTAAATAACTAAGAGTATAAATGTAAATCCATTCAAGGGATAAAGTAAAGTCATTAACAAAAACCATTAACATCTATCAGAAAGCCTAGTTCAATTTCTCGTTAGACTTTAACGACCTACAACCCTAGCCTAGATTGAACAGATTCTATGCCCCGTTTAGCCATTCAACATATGCAAGTAAACACTAGCCTCGCAAATTCCCAAGCGACAAGCAATGCGTTCAAGTGATTTCTTGCCACCACAATTGGAATAATCTAATCTTTGCGAGAAATCCCAGCTCAAGGGCCATTATGTCTGCCTCCAAGTAATAATTCACTCCAATAAGATGACGCTTACGTTTTTACGTCGTCCCAACTTCGTTTCTACTTGAAATAATTATTTTATAAAGAACAATCGTGAATTTCAATTTCATTGTTTCTACGGTAATGAGGGGGGACTATTCTTATCTCTGAGTACAGCCGACTAAGGGTGACTAACGAGTTACTTGATGGAGGGGTTGATTCTTGTTATCTCAGCACTATGGGGTTTTAAAACCTCGAACAATTATAATTATGTTAACTAAACGCTATATTAAGACCTTTCACTTCATACTGATACTTGAAACCAAAAAGTAAGACAAAATATTTTTGGTTTGTACCGTTCATCAGGGAAAAACGAGAAACATTAGTTTATAGACAATTAAATAAGTAGCATTACGTCGTCATCCCAATAACAATCCCATTTGTTAGATCTGTATGTTGCCCATCAGAGGCACATTTTGCAACGACTAACAAGGCATTGTGACCTTTTTATTGTGCCTCGTACGGAACGGATATTCATTCAATCAAAGAAGCCAACCGATCGTAAAAACGTTTCCCCAACTTTATTCCACAACTGTATGACGCTTTCTATATATTTATATAAACCTTCGTACGCCTTTTGTGTGGCAGTACTTTCGATTACAACGCGTGGTATTAGAGATTATATCGAGCACGTGCGTAATATCGTATGACCTTAATAGAATAAGGAGATGCGATACTCGCCCATTCAGCTTACGTCTGAACGCATGCTCGGCTATCATCACGTAGGAATTGCTACTTAAACATAGCGACTCATTGCCAGTTGGGTTGTCATACAGAGCGAGGAAGTAATAATGAAAAATAATGAACCACTTAGATAAGTATGTGTGGAAAATACAAATGTTCTGCGGGGACTGAACCTCGTACATTTAGTGTATAATTAATGAGCAGAAATAATCCTTTACTTCTATGTATTACTGACTGCATTAACCGAACAAGTAAACAATGGAAGATATAACCGGCAAACACAAGTAATTCACACACGAGCGCCTACCATGACTAGCACAACAATTTTACGACGTTCTATTAGCTGGCTGCCGAGCTAACCCGGACGTCCCACGCCTTTTACATGAACATATTAACAAGGTTTTATTCAAACAAGCTAAGAAGCTGACGTACCAAAATGGAAGGTTAAACAATACCTATTATCTTCATAGGGGCCGAGATTGAAACGATCTTCCTCGTAAACAGGCCGGTTTACGGCGAACATGTTTAGTGCAAAATAGGGATCAGCTAAACCGCCTATCACTACCTACACATGCTTACTTTGATTAACATTCTTAATTCTTCCAAGTGTTCTACATACTTAGAAGGGAATAAGTAGATTAAAATAAAACAAAGTTCGCCGTTTACTTATCAAAATGCTGATGATAAGCTACAAAATCTTCCATAAGATTTATATCAAAATTATGAAAACAATCCAAAATAAGTTGAGAAGTTAACGAGAAGTTGGGGGATTGATGTAAGAGCGTGTATTGAAGCACACTCACCACACAGATCTTATCAAATCGAGTACATAGTGGCTGTCAGTCCTTTTGACCTCTCCGCGTAATTATATTATGATCGTGTGGCTTGACGTTAATTTGTGAAACTGCTCGGAAACCCAACGCTTAGGTGGCCGGGCAGAGAGCTCTGTACCCGATTAATTCAAAAAGTGGAATCCTCGGTGAATTAATGGGATGGCCCGTCGTTCTGTGCCTATTGATCGACCGTCTCCTGGGGTAAACGAGACCAGGGAGACGTATTGTTTTCAGGTATAAGTTTTAAAACATCAGAGACTTCATATTCGTATTTATTCGGTATTATGGCCTTGCTAGCTGTTTTCATTTGTAAGTATAAACAATTATAACATTTAAAAGCATCATCATTTATGATGGAAGATGGTTTGACAGGCTTTTCTGCCAAAGCACTTCATTTTAGAAGTTAAAATAGCTACCTCATTAAGAATTCCCATCCATTATTTTATGTAATCCTCTTACCCTAAGGGAAAGTAATAATAATGCAAACAATATAAATATCCTGCTACATTACGGAGACATTGTATATCTGTAAGAAGTTTCATTACTGATTTTTGTGAAGAATCTTCAAACAAGAGAGGTTTAAGAAAGACGACGAAGCAAATGCTGTGCGGCTGCCATTTATTATGTTTTATAATATTTTCTTTTCTCAATGTCCTTAATAGGGATCGGACCTTTTGCCTTTTTAGTCCCTTGGGGAAGACATGGCGAATATTATTTCACCCTCCGCTAAGAGCAGTCTCGAACCCTTTGAATGTATTATTAAACTTTTGTTGTTGTCGGTATTATGGTACCCAGTGTGTGCTTGTTGGTAATGTCTTTTGTTTTACATTTTAGTGTCAATCAAGTTAAACTGTTAGTTCTGGAAATAATACTGTTGATATTGTTTGATTAAGTTTGAATATTATCAGATAACAATTATTTACAATTATTTGTTACTGTTAAAGTTTACCAATAAAATAAAATTTGTTTAGAAAATACCTGAACCTGTTTGTTACTTCCAGTTGTTTAATGCATTTCCACAAAGTAACGCCTTATTCCATTCTATATTTATCAATGGTCTAAATCAAGTTTAACAACACCTACCTACTTTTACAACTAAGTTGACTTGGTCTACATTAATAGTGTGTAAATGGTAAAAATACCATTACAAAACTTTTATTAAAACAGATAATATATGAAAAGTTACTCACAAATTATAATGCACGTCTGCCATATTCGGCCGGTACTTAAGCGCCCTCTCAAAGGCAACTTCCGCTTCCGCGGTCCGTCCCTGTGTGGTCAGCACACTGCCCAAGTTGCCGTATGCTGTGAAAAACAAAGTTTTGTTAGTTCTGTGCCAAATTCTTAAACAAAAAAATACTGTAACATTTGCAATTGTTTCGTAACCTAAAAACGTCATTTGGGGTTTAGAGATACTTTAAATTTAATACATCATTGTTAACGTTGGGTACAAACTAGCACACGGACAAGCAACTAGCGCCGTCTTTTTTTTAAGGGGGGAAAATCATCGAATTACTTCTCCCGCCCTGGTGAGGCGGGAGGGAGTGCCAGACTCTTACTGACTAAAAACCACCCCGTTCCTACTCCTGCACTTCGAGCGGGAGCCCCGGTAACCCGTTAAATTCTCCGCGACTCCGAATCGGCATAATCCCCATCCGTGGTGGGCTGATGGCTCTTTGAAGCGCGCGGAACACGACGCGCTGTACGCTCGAGTCTGGTTCTGGTTGGGCGGCGAGCCGGGTGGCTCGCCGTCCGCAGGCCCGCGCTTACGGTACGGAGATCGTCCCGCGGTCCCCGACGCCCGGAGTATCCTTCGCGATGGCTGGGTTGTGAGAAGGCAGTGCTTTGCTGCTTCACGACTGATTGCTTTGCAAAAGGAGGAGACGGCATCCCAGTCCCCCTCGATCCACATCATCACGTTCCTAATTTGGATTATATTATCGGAAAGCAAATGTTACATTAATATGGCTCTACCTTTAAATATATTATGTCTAGATGGAGTGTCAGTTCACGAAAAGCAGCCCAAAAATTTGCAGTGAACTGTGCACTGCAATGCACTTTCCCGTCAAATAGTATCGATCGTGTCATCTAGGTCACCAATAAATTTGTAAACAAAAAAGTACACTGCAAAGATGGTCACATGCTCCATAAAATTGTACTAAAATTATAAATGACGGTTTAAAAGTACTAAACTACTTATCCATCCATACTAATTACTTATCCATCGCTAAGTAATTAAAAACTACATGATTTAATTTTTGTTTTTGACCTAACTAATTGCCGTCATATTTTATCAGTGTTGCCAGTTTATTTTTTAATACTCCGTTCTCATGGGTCTCATATAGAGGGAAATATTAACAAAAAATATCACTTGCTAGTAAATTATAAATAAAATAATATTTATATTATTCCTTGGACTAACACTTACCTACGACTTAATTTACTATTTATTCTAACTGACTAAAAAAAGAAGGTTCGATTCGATTTTTGACAATTATTTTTAAATGATGATAAGCAAAAAATATAACTTATTCGATTTAAGTTATATTTTTTGGTGGAAAGGGTACAACTGCTATAATATTTTATAAATTAGTTTTATAATGTTAAAAAGGTTTCAATTAACAAAGTATTACTGGGTTTTAAAAAATTCTCAGTAATAGCACGGAGTCTGGAATTGTGCCCGGTATATGGCGATAGACCCACCCCTATTACATGGGACTCATAACATAAATAGTGAAAAGTGGGTATTACATTGTACAGTGGCATAATGTGCACCTCTGCCTACCCCTTCGGGGATAAAAGGCGTGATGTTATGTAATGTCTTAATATGAATATTTAATTATTCTTTTCATACGGATAATAAATTCTTTATATGAAATAATAGGTATCAACAAAGTGTCCAATAAAAAAACTTTTAAATCAAATTCAAAGAGATAGTTACAGTTGTTTTTTATTTTACTTATAAATGGTCCGGTACATGTACCCAAATATATTTGGGAGATAAAAATTTGATAAGAGATTTTTTGTCATAGCTAGTATCCGTTTTGCTCCGTGTAAACCAAAAGCCGCACCTACACATGCAAGAAATTTTGGAACGAAATTTTTGTTGCTATTGTATGGTGACGCTGTATCTAGGCATTATATTATCAAAGGGCTCTGCCAATTCTTATAGGTAGGGGTTCTGGTTCCTGACAAAGACGGTTTCAAGCCATGGTAGACCAAATATAAGTAGATTATGTCCATTTCGAAATGCTCAGCATAAACTTATACACACCTACTTTGAACTTGGGTTCGATGTTTGGTGAACCTCTGTTACAAAGGGATTATTATCAAAGCTGGCAAAATTAGTGCAACATTCTGCCTAATACTTTGGAAAATCACAAGCGTACTTAAAATGCTACTTAGTGTATATTGTACATAGAAACTATAATAGAATACAGTGTATGAAGTATCGTTAGCCTCGCCTTTACTTAAATTAAAGGCTTTAAGAATTTCATTGATTAAAACTACAAGTATAGTATAGCGTGATGGTATGATGGACGAGTTGTACTACGAGAAAATCGTTTGCCACTTCTCACCGTGATGGATTACAAACAATCAAGTTATAGCCTGCTTCCCGTTCAAACACTAACTTAATTAAATATAAGAAGCTATGGCAACCCACATGATCCATCATTTTAATCCACTAACGAAGCAGACGACAAAATTTCATTAATTATTCATACTTATGAGCAAGAATAAGCCGATTTATTATATTATTTTAACACAAAACTGCTTTGAAGTTGATTACTTGACTTACTTAGCGTAATAAAGGAAGAAAAGTGAGATGGAATATTTGTTTAAAAATTTCAACTGATGCTCTTAGCTTTGTCGGAATGAAATGATTTTAATTTGTATAATTGCGTTCTCAAAATTAGATTTTAATAACAATGGTCCGCTTTGTTAGTTTACTTCCATGTCTAGTCAAGTTATAAGAGGGCTTATAACGGAATGAACAAGAAAAGAGGTAAATGACATGAATTTACAGGCAAAAATTAGCAGAGATAATGTTGCATCATATTTCGCACTACTTTTATAAATGACTACACCCTACAAATACATAATTATGTAGATTAGAATAGTTTTATTACGGGTGTCAATTGTCTACGACATGTTATTTAGGGGTACAAAATCACGTGGTGGTACTGAATGTCAACTACATAATCATCATACTATATCATAATTCTGTCGATGACGAGGTGACCTAACATGACTAATATTAGCTTCCCGCAACAGTTGTAGCGGTCTGTGGTGTTGGCTCGTGTACAGTAAGACGTTTATGTTCTCTTTGTAGTATATTAATAACAATACATTAAATAATTATTATATCGACCGCAAGTAGAGCAATATTAGGTCGTATTAGAGAACAAGTTAAACAAACTTTTAACTTTAGCAGTTCAAAACTAAACACTTTAAACTTTGAAACTGACCAACTAAATAGCAAAATCCAAGTTCATAAAATGTTCCCTCACTTTGCAGTCTCGACTTGTGGCCAAACAAGCTGCGTCATTTCCTCGTCATATAACGTAGAGTACACACTAAGTCTAAAATGGCGTTATCCAATACATGTTTTAGATTTTAGAAGTTGTTTACGGTTCTATATCTCAGTATACTAGACGGGTGACATGGACGAGTATGATTGGCTGCGCTATCGTCTCGCCGAACCCATCTCCGGTGCACTGCGATCTGCTTTCACCGAATAAACATTAGGCAGCTCTGCGGTCACATGTGCTCCTGGTACCTACGACTGTGTGACGGTTATCGGGCTTTATTATCTTTTGATAGAACCCTTTTCAAAAATACGGTAATGAGTATTTTATCGTATTCGCTTTATGTAAAATGTAACCTTTATTGATCTAGGGTCTATACACAACGAAATACTCGGTACAAATGGCTGCGAAAGAAAAATACTATTGCTTTCTACTGGCTAAGTCTGGATTTAGTCCGGTGTAAGGTAATAGCGTCGCTCCTACTTTACTACAAATCCATACTGGAAAGAGTTACGTCCCTGCTCAAATCTATGTAGTCTATCTAGGTACATAAAATGTCCATGAGATACAAACAAAACCGCTTTAAACTGTAGGAGGTTGTTGAAGATAAACATACATGGAATACTAAACAATGATTTATTGACATATGATAATGATTGTAATAAAGTAATAATGATAAATGTAATATAATAATATTGACAGTGCATGACCCTATATTTTGATTTAATTTAATGACAAGTCTGACTATTGAAATCTTTGTATAATTAATAAATGGTAAATTAATTTAATATATTTGTACGCCGTTGGTGGCAAGACATAGCTGGTCAATGTAAAGTTTGTAACATCTTTTGTAACCTGTGTTCTACAAATAAAGTAATTTGAATTTGAATTTGAATTTGAATGACATACAGTACAATTTTATAACAGTCATATTTTTATATTATCCAAAAATGTTTAAATCAAGAGCTACCATACATGCAGGAATGCTAACATTATGAGGCGGTATTTAACTACACTGAATGCGAAAGCTTAGTCGATTAAATTCGATTCAAGGACCACTCTCCGCGTCCGTAGCGATGCCGGTAATATATCCGTAAAATATTTCACTGAAATACGCCATGAATTTTATAAGCGACTTTAAAGTATGAATATGGAATTAGCTTAGTTATATTTTTCTATCAAAATTGGCAAAATATGAAATAATTCACTACGTAAATTCATAAATGTGTTTCGTGTAATAAAAAAAAATGTTATGCCGAATGGGTTACAGTAATGAACTTTACTGCCAACAACACAAAGTACAGTTTTGCTCGACTGGTTTGTGCATTGTACGTTTGTTCAAATAGCTAGTTTTATTTCTTGACTGAAGATAAACGTGTAAAAAGCAGCTTAATCACCCTGTTTGTAGGTTTTCACGGACCCACTGACAACTTGTTGATGTTCGTCAACATGTAGGTGCGTATTTTCATAGTAACAAAATATGTAAGAAGCTATGATTATTTTTTTAACTCTATAAGTCTAGTTGTTGACATAACAATAAAAATGTATGTACTATCTTTTAAAACGATATTTATGCTTTCGGAAGACATTTATCTGACATCCTTTATACATCCTAACCAACTTTCTATATTATATCAAACCAAATAGGATGTAATTATAATTGTAATTGTCCTAATAAACCTAAAATGTATAAGACTACAACAATAGTCTGCTTGAACTCCTCACTTTTTACTTCTATTTAAAAGTACAGGAAATTATGATGAAAGACCCAAATAAATATTACCTACTAAAGAAAACATTGGTTATAAACTTTTAAACAAATTTTCAATATTCTAATAATATTAGACGTACAAGCTTGCATTATCATATTACAATAGACTATTCAAATCCTTCGTAAACAAAAATTACTCTCGCATTTATAAACATTCGTTCGAGTAAAATCCCTACTATTATTGCTAATTTAATAGGTTCGGACAACAATAGATATCGGAGGGCGCCTTTATTTTTGGGGTTGATCCGGTTAAGAACCGACATAAAATGACCCAACACTGGAGATTCGGTTTATTGAAAAGTAGAATAAGAAATGGAATCCCGCGGCCTATGAGGTCTTATGCTAACAAAAGACATTATCAAACAGAGGCATTGGATTTCCGAGGGATTCCTTTATATTTATGACCGCATGCGTAGCTCTTTGGCAAAAATCAACGCACTTTTACAGACAAAAGTTAACCTAAAATAATTTCCTCTGTTTCAAATGCTCGTTCCCGAAATCCTCAGCAAATTTAGGTTGTTTGAAAAGCGTGATTCAATAACAATAATCCCCGGTAATCTTAGCAGTCCTAAATCGTACTTTTAACAATTTCACGTGTGTTTATCGTGAGTGTTCATCCGTAAAGAGGCGATTACATAAAAGTGTAACTGGGTGCTTCCCTTAAATAGGGCACATCAAAAAGAAAATAAAAATCTTATCCCATTTACGATCGGCACCATTAGCTGTAAGAAAAACATAGAGCGAAAAAATATAAAAGAGACACGGCGTTACTTAGTCGTTCCGCTGATTGGAATATCGGTCTGAAAGCTTTTTTATGTACCCACTTACACGGGAAATACACGAAACATTGACGTTATGCCGTAGGTGTTTATGTATGCCTGCTTGTTTATTGCCTCATATTTTTTCGTTTTAAAGTATAGTACCTACCTGGCGTCCGAGCCATATGTATTTACTCCACATTCGTGCACAATACAGCTACTTTCAGCAAGGTTTATTGCTATAAACCGTTAATAACGTTCAAGGAATCAAGGAAGAAACATTTTTAGAACGTAACGCGCGGTCTTTTAGGTATGGCACAATACTTGCGACGATGGTTTAATTACACGACTAACGAGTTCATATAACTAGAAATAGTTCCTCTATTTCTGTGTAAACGGCGGCTTAGAAACAGAAAAATAAAACGTTTCATGTGGTTTCGCACAGGTGTCGGCTTATCAGGGATTACGGGGCTATTAAAATCTTATTCGTTCTCTTCTTTTAGTACGTACCTAAACGATGAAAACGACCAAATACGCCACAAATATTGGATTTATTTTATAACGAAAGCGTTTTCTTTATACTCGTTTATGTTACATTTTCTTTAGTTCATGTGTCGTGGTGCGATTAATTGAGATTTCAATACACAATAATTATTTGTTATTTGCAGTTATTAACTAAACCAAAACAAAACTAGTTGATATTTCAATCAGGACGCCAAGCTAAGTTACCAACATTTTCAAGTTAAACCATTTAACCATTTATCCATAGTCAATTTCCAATAAAAACACGACTATCTGGTCATTTCATTAAAAACACGACTATCTAGTCAACAAGACAGTATTAGTTTTTATTTCCACTAAACAGACTAGCGATTTAATGTAGTTGTCTGTAAGACATATCCAATGACTAACTCTCGGTTAAAGCAACTATAGTCGGTAAATATCAATCCTGTTCCAATAATACCTAATATTTTGTAATAAAACTTAGGTGAATGATTTGTGTCTTGTGCCGCAAATGTTCAGTCAGTTTTGTTTCAAAACTTCACGCGCGGGCGACGTACTTACAAAGAATTGTGAACGTTTTTGCAAAAACATTATATTGTCATTTTTATTACCGTTAGCAGTTACCAACACAACCCTGTGTGGGTAATAAAGGCCTCTGCCGAAATGTTTCATTTAGCCTCAATACCATACACAACGTTCCAGTTTCGCTTTTATTATGTTGAGGTCATCTTTTGTTCGTTTTCAAATCAAAACTCAATAAAACTGAGCCCCTGAGCCATGTCTTTGTGTAACAAATTGAAAAACATATTGTTATGCCGTTGATTAAATTACGCCTTCCCTCTAACGGACATCGCTCACGCACGCATTATTATTTATTAAACTTTTAAGACTGTTAGCTAATGTAGTTAGACTTTAAAATATATATTAAAATTAAAAAAAACGTCGACATTGTGCCTTTAAAGTATTAATAAGCACAACTAATAAATTCTACTTGGACACGTCATTGTAGTTCTCGACTCAAATAAAACATTTATTTGCAAGTAGATAATGTACTACTACTTATTACTCTCTAGTATTAAATAACTGATTCATTATTCAAATAACCGTAACTGTCAAAAGTGACTCTTCAGATCTCGAAATTTTGTAAATGATACGTCCAAATTTCTTCCTGACCACTTAACCTTCACAAATTTGCTACAAAATCGTGTCCGAAACATCCTATCCTTGTTCTTATTAAACAAATTAGTATAATGATATCAGATCTCAGGGAAGTAACTGCGTAAGTAAGTTTGTGACACCTAAGTAGCCGTAAGACAAGTTCGGAAGAGATAATGGTGTTAATCTTTGAGAGTCGCCACTCAAAGCCAGTTCTATCGGGGCAAAGATGGTGACGATAAACCGTGGACTTAGCCGATAACATCGGAGGGGACAGCCAAGTGCTGGAAGAAATAGTCTCGTAATGAAACGACCTATAATCACTCGCTACATGATGATGTCCAGATACCAGCCACGTCATGGTAAGAACTTTGAAATATATGTTTTAGAAATGGTGGCACTGTGTCAAAACACCATAAGTAATAGTACAGATAAATAGTTGAAAAAGGTCGGTTTAAAACGAAGTAAACAGTAAATAATTGTGAAGCTTTTGCATCATCTAGAAAACATTAACATCTAAACATTCGCAATAGATTAATCAAATTACAATTACATATTACACTAAATGAGAAAACAGTTAAGTTTAGTTATAAAAAACAATTATTTGATTAAAACATAATGGCCAGTAACAGAGACCGAATAACACAAAAAGAAAATTACAAAACAGAAACAATGAAAAGCTACTACTTATGACATGTTTGCGATTTCTTAAAATCCTTCTAAATAATCTCGTATGTTTCAAATTGAACAAATAACATTATAATGTTCAACCGAATGGAAACATTTATTAAAAGGGCTCATTAATATAATTTTCCTTAACCATGACATTAGATTAAATCCATGCCGGTTTATAAAACACATCATTAAAGAACTCAGCTTATTTGTACATACACATACGTACTTATTTTCATAAATACACAATAAAAAGTATTTGACAAAAAACGACCTCATTAGGAGTTTTATTCTTTTCATATCAGTACAGTAAAAATAATAAATAAGATGTGACAAAGGCTTTGGAAGTAGGAAGGCGTATTATGTATGAATAATCGGCCGTGACTATTCTCTTCGTGTTTCGAGACGGGAACAAAATGTTTTTGTAGCATTTTTTGTATTACGAGTGTGTTCTTACTGGGAACCTTAAGTAGATGTGTACTTATGGTTACCTAATTCTGATGTTGAGGTATAAGTGTAAGCAGATTATTATGTTTGTTCATTGTTATTGTTTTGGTAAAACCCACTGAGTATTCCATGGAAGACAATCGAGCTCAGTGGCGTGCCATTGGAGAGGTCTGTGTCCAGGAGGACGGAAACGCGCTGATGATATATCATAGTTCATATTGGTTAGTTCATGGGCTTAGAATAAACTAAACATTTTAATTGAAAAAGTTATGAGACGTTTATTATATTGAATTTAGTATCGAAAGTCAATTCTCTCAATGATATTAGTGAAGATAAAATAACATGTCAAATCCTCATCGGCGTATTGTTACTAATTCACTTTATAAATAAAATTAAGAGTATAAGCCTATTTATTGCAATATGTCCCAAGCATCATTATGAATACATGTGTACAAATAAGCATCAGATCTAGTTCATTGAATATTAAGCGTGATGATGATCACGTTAAATGTTAATCTCTTATAATGATAGTTCAATAGATCAGTTCTGTTATCACGGCAAAAGTTGTATTTGATAAAGCCAGCTTTAGACCGATTACCTCGCCTCGCCGTCCTCTGTTCCGACAAATTCGTGTAATAGGAGGCGCCTTGTGATTGGCCAGTTTCGAATACCCGCCTGCGACAAATTGGATCCAGTTAGCCTGTAGGTCATGTTACTAAAAGATAAAAGGAGGAATAAAGGCCACTTCAAATTGAGGGAGATTCAACTATCGCCTCAATATAACAACGTAAATTGTTGTTATTATTTAAAATTATAGCCTTTGTACCTGAACGTTAATTAAGTAAAGGGGTTGTTTAAACAGGATTCTGCTTTATGAGCGACGACGAAATTAGTACTTGAACAAGTGAGGCATTTTCTAATTATCAAAGAAAATATTATAAGCTTACCGAACTAGCTTACGTATTAAAATAAAAATACATCTGGTTACCAAAATGTTCGGAAGAAAAATCTGAATTAAAATTGTGGTCAGGACCTAGATCACATCATGTGTAAGCAAATTCAAGCATGTTGCAGTATATTTTATGCAAAAATATCTTCTTTGTCGTGGAGAGGGTTGGTAATATTACACTGTTTACTCTTAAGGTTTACATAATATAACTTTGTACCTGATTTTTTAGGTTTCTAAATTAATACGCAAGATACCCATTATGTGAGAAAATCCATAAGTAATTGTTGTACATTGGCGTAAACTTACAGTCAAAATTAAGGGAATAATTATAATGCAATTATTTATCCAATCACCGACTAAAAGACTAAAAGGAAATAATTGTTGATACACGTAATCTAAAACATATATTTACTTATTTCAATTAAGTAAAAGTATAATTTATTAGATACGTGTTTGTCGACACGACGAGGTACAGACGTGGCCTTGACTCAATCATTTGTTTGAATAAATAAAAAGCAAATGTTCTTTAACTTTCTTCGAAATTACCTTAGTTGGTTTTCCATGTTGACATTACTTTATTTGAACATTTCTTTGATTTGATTAGTTCAAGGAACCGTAAAGAGGTCTACCTAATAATTATTTTAATTTACTCAAATATACTTAACCTCTACTTGTGTGTGTAGAGTAAATATTCAATTTAATTCCGTAACAAAATTGTGTTGATTTACCAAAACGTTTTCGATCTAATACCACAAAATATATCTTTCATTTATATAATTTTTCTATCGTCTTCTTATAGTCGGTATCAAAAGTGATTGCTTAGAATTATATTATTTTGTATCGTGTTCGATTTCTAAGAAGAATACCATTTATATTTAGATTTCGAATATACACGTCTTCTCGTTTGTAGATTAATATCGAAACAAGTTCCAAGTAGGTTTCTATTCACGCCATATTTCTCAAGAAACCTGTTGTTATAATATTATTTTGTAAATAAATGTATAAGAAAATATATCCAATTCTTTCGTGTTGAAGTGAAATGCTATTAATTCCGAAGCAACCCCAAACGAGCATCAGGCATCCTCGCTGCAATCTCAAAGTTAGCGGCGAGCGTCGAGCGTCCCGCGAGGTATGAGTGCTCGGTTGAGTCCGACGTGCCTCACTGAACGTCGCCGAGCTTTTGAATTTGCGTGCTGAGCGCATCATAAACAAAGCCTCGTTGCTGACATTTGTGGACATTGTACTGACTGTACCAGCTGATATAATAAATTTTCAGTAAACTGTGTTTACTGCAAACAATGTGCTTGTTGAGGTTTTTTAGTTACATGTCTGTTCATGAGAGGTGGTTTGATACAATATCGTAGCACATATGGTGTTTTTATTTGAATTATATTACACATATCGTATTACATACGATGTTGAATGACTCAACTTTTCGGCTTGCTGCTTGCTTGCGTGTAGGTGCACCCTGTGTTTCTCCGCATCGCTGTCAATGCGGTGAGATGGTCGACCACCTCGGCCACCACGGCCTATCGTGTAGCAGAAGCGCGGGCCGGATAGCTCGACACGCCAGCATTAACGACATTATCCGCCGAGCTCTTATCATCGCCGGTGTGCCAGCTGTTCTGGAACCAAAGGGTTTGGCACGCGACGATGGTAAGAGACCCGACGGTATGTCCATTATGCCCTGGAAGCTGGGAAGGTCTTTGGTGTGGGACGCAACCTGCGTTGACACCCTTGCACCTTCTCATCTTCCAGTAACGGCGGGTTGTGCTGGTTCGGCTGCTGCCTCTGCAGAAAGCCTCAAGCGGCGCAAGTATAACAACCTTGCTGGTAGTTATATCTTTGAGCCGTTTGGGGTTGAGACGCTAGGTCCGTGGGGTCCGAGTGCACTTAAATTGTTCCAAAACATCTCAAAACGCCTGGTTGACACATCTCGTGACCAGAGGGCTGGTCTTTTTCTCGGTCAGAGGCTAAGCATTGCCATACAACGTGGCGATGCTGCCAGCCTTCTGGGTACTTTCCCCACTGACGTCGATGCGGACGAATTTTTCGACGCTTTATGTAAATAGTTGTTTTTGTTTTTTCTTATAATTAATTTTAATCTTTAGTTGTATATAGGTATTTAATTTAGTAATATTTAGTTTTAATTTTTTAGTTTTAATTTAGTAATATTTAGTTTTAATTTTTTTTTTTTTTTTTTTTTTAAGTAATAGTTAGTTTTTAATTTAAGTTTTTTATTTGAATAAATGAATACTTTAAAATGGTGTTTTTATAAATATGTTAAATAGAACTTCCATTTAAATACTCACATACTGTCTATGATATTAGGCACTAGGGAGATCGAGCCTATTTCATAAAACTAATACAGTACCACACATACATTGCTTATTTTTATTATATTATTAATTGAAAAAGGGGTCCTGAGACCTTAATCCATTCTGAATCCAGTAAAACAAATATAAAGCAATAAAATCCATATCGTGTTTATTATTACCTACAGCTTAACGTAAGATTAAGTAGGTACGTAAATAAAACCATTAAAGTACATGCCAACACGCATCGATTTTTAATGTTAAGTTTAACGCATTTATGACCTAATTAGTACGTAGTAACTAAGGAAAATTACAAAGGTCATTGACATTTGCGTACGTCACGAGATTTTTCATCTACAAAAATAGGCTATTGTGCTAACTTAGGTCAATGTTCTATGTCACGTTTCCTTATAACGTTAACTAGCTAATTTTTTTATACATCAAAAAGCAAACTGCACTGCACTTTATCGTATATCAATATCGCTTGAATTATCAATATTTTTGCTGAATCTATGTAAAAGGTTCAAAGGTATGATTAAAATTTTTTAAATTGTCCATGTAGCAATAAAATCCGTGGCATTGTAGCGAAATAGGTAGTTATATACTGTTGTGCCTACTACTAGACCAGCAACGATACAAACACTCAATATGTCCTAACTAATTACTATTGCCTGGCAAATGTCAAACGACAGTTTGGTTGCCGTAATGGCAGAGTGATTGAGTTCCACAATGTTAGCGCCAGGTCAAATACATTTGGAACTTATGTACCTAGTCCTTTCTATGTTTGTTTGTATCTGTAGTTTCCCAGCCTCATTAGAAAGAACGAAATATATTATACAATCTCACAGCAATAAACGTATCATTGATATAATGAACATTGTATATCATGAGCTGAAGGTGCCCGAATAAATGTAACCCAAAAATTTGTGCAATTCGATATGGGCAAAATCGTTAAAGAAGAATGATTCTTCTTCTTTCTCTCACATGTTGGCAACCTCTCTAAATACCATCGCAGGGCGCGAAACGATTTCGCCCATATCGAATTGCACAAATTTTTGGGTTACATTTATTCGGGCACCTTCAGCTCATGATATACAATGTACATTATATCAATAATACGTTTATTGCTGTGAGATTGTATAATATATTTAAAATAAACTTACAATTATTCGCATACTACAACAATTACAAGTGCCAAAACTGTAACAATATCCATAGTATAGGATGAAAAATTATATCTGTTTTTATTTTTATAATAACTATCGTGACACATACTAAATTAACTAAAATCGCGGGTTACTCACTCATGAGGAAGAATCTCTCTGTGGTACGAAACTAGTAGAGCTTTTTTTAGTTAATGTATTTTTATTATTATAACCAACTAATACATCGTACTTATTGGTCAATCTACTTGGTCTCGTTGTGTCATGGTGAGATGGTTATTTCCGAGTATATTCCGATTCTAAAATTATGAACTTTATTTGACCCTATATTGGAGACGTGACTGAACGAACTAAGGGTATACCTATATATATTATATGTAACATATATATTTCAAACACCTACAGAAACCCTAGAAATTGTTGTGTAGTGTGATTCATGTGACTTGATTGAGATCCCGGACAAGTTACGTGGTACGTGGGGGCTTCCATTGACATGCTGTTGGACACCGTACGTGACCGAACCGAGAAGAGAGTACCTAGTTAAGTATTGGTACAAAATTTTTCGTTTGATGGATTTTTTACTTTGTTGTCGATGCAACTTAGACTCTTATATCAAACCATTATAACAGTGATTCCTGTAATGTAAGTAAACTCGTTACTTGAAATTGTTACTTGGTCTTGTCATATATTATTCTAAGTTAGTCAGGCTTTTTGGCCAGATAGGGAAAAAGGTGGCATATTGTCATCAAAAGTTAAATAAAATATAGGTAGGAAAAATACAATAAATAGGTACCTACAATGATTAACGAGAATGGTACCTAGTATACAAAAAATATTAGGTTACTCTTTGAAAAACTCTATTTACCTATTGCAACATGGTTAACAAAACTGTATTCAGAAAAGGAAAAACGACCCGTTAAAATTAAAAACATGTACTGCATAGACAAGCGTTTGAAGAACAAGTCATGTTTACTTAATAACGAAAATGTTCTTCAAATAGCTTCGGCTAATTCGTACCCACAACTACTCTAACTTACAATTAAGGATCATTACTACTAAAAATAGGGGACTTCTTGGCGGAAGTTAATAAATAAATGCATTGATTGATTTATCCGTCGTTGGTAACAAAAGTCGTTAATTAAAATATTTCAAATGGCTATTCCAATAGTATCATTTCATTTATTCATTTGTGAACATAAGTATACAAATGTATAAATAAACATACCTAGTTGGTATGTACATAAGTGTTCCCTAAATAATAATTATTAAAATTACCTGAAGTGACCTAAACAGTAAAACAATCAATAAAACAAATGAATTGAAAATATATCGATCGATTGAATGTCATATTAAACATTTTGTGTACGATGTACGTCAAAAACCAAATTAAAAGGAAATACTATATTCTCTGAACTGTGTGCCTGAACCAAGTAATCATTGAAGAAAATATATAAAGAGCTAGTTTTGTATAATGCCATACCATTCCAGCATTAGTTCAAACCTTAACAATATAACTGGAATGATTTGTACATAAAATTGTACTTTGAAGGAATTTTAAATAAAGGAATCGTACTCTTGTATGGGTGTGCACGAGCTAAATTGCATTTTATTTATAATATGAAAAGGTAAGAATTTGTACAATCACAGCTTACTGATATTTACTTACCGGGATATTTATTTACTAGTCAGGGAATAATAAAATTGTGTGAATGAAGATAATGTAGGAAATATAAAGATGCAGTGCTTTTTAACTTTACATTAAACGGATTATTTTATTCGATATTGATAAAATAATTTGGTTTATTGTGTGACGTTTTATTATTATAGTATATAACAATATATGTATTTGACCATTAATTTTTAACTACCTATCCATTTACATCAAATTTTTTTGCAACTAAAAACGGATCTCTTTGATACAAAAGGCTAGGAAGCGAAAAATCTGTTCGCCTAGACAATATTACGATCCATAAAATACATGATTCATCGTAAAATAAGAAATCCGACATCTTTGTAAGTAAAACGTATCTAATACAAAATGGCGACATAAACACAATTTACATTCATATCTTTAAATATGTCTACGTTAGTTTGCCGTGACTCTGTCTCAGTATTTAATTCCCATGAGAAAAAATAAGTTGACCCGCAGCTGGCGGGCGGCCTCAATATTTTGCAAGTGATTTTGGATCTCGTAAAAATATAAGAAGTTAGATAGAAACTTTTAAAAAGCAACTCGGCCTCTTATTTTTTCCTTACAAACCCATCGCGAACAAGTTGGATAGTTTTACATCGGAGACCCTTCGATAAAGTGTCATAATTTAGGTGAAATATTGTTTTCTGGCGAGGGGAGCATATTTCGTTATCTTATTTGTGGTTTCTGAATAAGTTAGAGTTTCTTTCCTTTCAATAATATATATTTACCAAACTGGCTTCGGAGACCTGTTGATAATATTATTTATGAAGTTAACAAAAATATATGAATATTTGCTATAGTGAATGGTTATTTTATTTGTCAGGTAAATAATGTCGTCTCCAACTATTTGTTTACATTATTTTCCCTATCGAATTCTTTTTATTAGCTTAACCTACTTAAACATTGTTTGAAGGACCCATGTCTATTGTCACAATTTCAGTTTTAGATCTACAATTTGTGGTTGGTCGTTGTCGAAGAAATCAAAAATTTCGTAAATCTGAACAGTCAATTTCGAGTCATAGGTATAAGTCTATAATTAACAGGGCTTTTAAATCAAACCGTTACTAGTAATTACTAACACTCACTATTGATAACTATAATATAATTGTAACTAGTAAACAATATGCCTATTACACCTACCTACAAAACATAACAAGTATAATATTTGAGATTGAATCGAACATTCGTCGTATGAAGGGAAGCAAAATGAGAGCCATCAGACAAAACTTTTCTCTTTGCGCGAAAGTTTGTGATGTGAACAGAAACCCGGGGCGGCGGCGGAGTCCCTCGGGACGCACATGCATGTTTAATGGCGTCCTAGAAAGGTCAAGAGTCTGAATGTGAGTGGAAGTAGTGAATACATTACCAGTTCCCGAGTGGGCAGGTACTGGGAGGCAAGCAGCCGCGCCGTGACAACCTCTTTTCTAACTTACACGAAGTAACACGCCGCGGACAGGTAGTTTGTAGCTGTCTCTCAAACAAATTAATTGTGTCTTAGTTTTGAGCTGTAACGAGGGAGCAACTCAAACAAACTTTTGAGAAAGGTACGAGATGGAAGTGTTGGTTCCCCTGCGCTAACATTATGCCGTGAACTCGCAAAATTTCGCCGCGACGTTGACTAACGGTTAGTACAACTGGCCTGCTCGGAATTGAAACTTAGTTTGACTTCAAATTATGTAACCAACCATGCAATAAATGTACAAATATACTTATAACTTTACAAGTATATGCAAAATTTGTGCCGGTCGGTTTGTTTATGTTGAAATAATAGGGATTTTTTTAAGGGGCAAAATCATCGAATGACTTCTCTCGCCTGGGTGAGGCGGGAGGGAATGTCAGACCCTTACTGACTAAAGACCACCCCGTTCCTACTCCTGCACTTCGAGCCGGAGTCCCGGTAACCCGTTAGGTTCTCCACGGCTCCGTATCGGCATCAGCTCTATTGGGCCACATCCGTGGTGGTCTGAGGGCCATCCCTCGGTTGCGACAGTTGTTGCTGCCATTCCGCCATGAAATCGCGCCGGAGTTCTTCTCGACACGCACTAATCTGACACGGTAGCTGAATTACGTCCCAGCGACGTGCCACCGCGCGCAGACAGAACACGCGCACGATCACCTTCACCTCCAGATCCCACGGCATTAATCCGGCAAAGATCCGGCAATCCGGTTCGCCGCCTCCCCGGAGATCATGCGGTTTCCACGGATCATTCGGATCCTCTGTGACGTGAGCAGCGCCCGAGCTGGTCACCGCATTAGGTTCGGCGCCTACACAGGGGTGCCGTAGAGGGCCATGGACCGCACGGCGTTTGGTCCCCCGAGGTTGGGTAGGACGCACTTAAGCGCCGCCCCCGTCCTTTCAGAAATGCGAATAATAGGGTATAAAAAACTTTGTAAGTCACTTAGTCAAAATTTCTCTAAGTTTCATTACAAAACTCTCAAAAATACATAATGTACAATATACACATCCCGTTGCGATACAAGAAAAGAAAATAGGTCAGTATAACGCTCGTAAACAAGGGTTAGCAAGTAGTCACGACCTACGCACTGTTGCAATACATTGCGAACGCAGTCTCAAGTGGTGCTCACACCTCGCTCCCCTTTCATGGAGCGCGGACAAGAACGTTTAAAATATCTACATGTATAGCTATGTAAGCGTTACGCTACTCACCTTTTGGAGGGTTGATATGCAACGCGCTTCTGAAGAGACTTTCTTCATCACGCCAGTCGAGATTTCTCCGCATGGTGTAGCCGCACATGGCGGACAAGGCCACTAGCAGGGCCAACAAGAACAGCCTGCTTCGCGTCTCGCCACGATGCCAATTTCGTGTCAGCACACCAGCCCCCAAGCCCAGTAATAAACAGAAACCAACACTTGGTATGTACAAAACACGCTCTGCCACCACGAAGCCGACGTAGAAAAGTAAATTAGTCGCAGGCACGAATGGCAGTACCATAAACGCCATGAACATCAGCAACGCAACTTGGGGACTGCGATAAACCGTCCTCTGTACTGGGCTTGCCTTAGACTTCGTTAACGATATCGGGCAAATGCAACTCGAGTTGTGCATCGTTATATTATTGTTGTTGCTTGCGCGACACACACTCGTGTGCTCATCAGTGAGTGAATGTTTGCAGCCAGTGCACGGACACAATAGCTTTTTAGATGATACATTCTCTTTGTGCGGCGCATGATAGCTTTTTCTTTCATAACAGTCTTGTCCTCTATTATACGGCTTGCTACTATAATTCCATTTGTGCTTAATTTTACAATTTTGTTTTTTGTAGTACTTTGCATCTCGCAATATGTTGTCTTGATGCTTTTTTAATTCATTCGTAAGCGTTCGCCAAGTCACTTTTGAAATGACGGCGTAGAACACGGCGGTTGTGATATTCCGGGCATCAAACAACGTCGTTATCCTCGGTATCGAGTCCATCGACCAATCGAAGCTCAGATGAAAAGGGTATAAAAGTAGGAAGAAGTTGAAGACGGGGAGATAAGCAAAAGTATAGAGGCGCGTAAGAATTGAGGGGTCTCGCGACGCGGGGTTATCAGCCGCTGCGAACGCGGTGGGCGCTCCGGCGAGTCGTAAGCGCCAATACAACAGAGCGAAGCCTCCAGTCCCCAGCGCGCAAACGCTCCGCCATCGATGCTGAAACAATAAAATACAATTTAATAAAATATCGATAAACACAAGCGAAGCGTTCAAGTGAGAAGTGAACAGTTGACTACGTCAAACTTTTAAGAAAGGATCTAAGAGTATCAAGTTATTCCCAATTCATAAAATAAAGTTTATTCATAAACGCAAAGAGGAAAGTTAGGTAAGTATTTGAAGTTTTATTTTTCTAAATATTGTTGGGAACTCCATGGTGATTGATTACCTCGCAGCAATATTTCTTTAATATCTGTCGAAAAATTTGCCGCAATGTAATAGAATAATTTTATTTTTTATAACCAGACGGATGCTTCGTTTGAAGTATGACAACCTCGAAAAATTATGTTTACCATAATCAGAACTATAAATAAAATAACTTCAGATGAAATCAATACAAAGTTACAAATTAATCTAGTATATGCTTATAAACAAACAATCCGCTTCACAACAATGAAATCGATCTCCCAGAGTCGAGAAATTAATGACCATTTTACCAAGTCGTCAACTGAGCAGGTTTTCCACACAGATTTATTTGTTCACGTTTGTACGAGATTCAACCCTATGAGAGGCGCATTTACGGCTCACGTCTTAACTAGCACGAGGACGATGGTATTAAGAACTAATCCTCTCCGCACCAGAACGTGTCGTAAGGTGACTAAAACTAGTGGGAAACTGCGGTACGGTGGCTCTACGACTGCTAGCTACGATATATTCGCGTGAAGTGAGACATCTAGATCATTCACTATTGTTTTACTGTATAGATAGGTGAATAATTTGAAGTTATTTTTACGAAAAATTCAAACACGGCAAAATGTATATATAATATCATATCAGCATTAAATCCGTTGAAGAACGGAACCACAAACACATTTGGATCATAACAAAACCTTCCTGAAATTAGACACCAAACCAGTGGGATCATCTCATTGTCCCTTGTTACATACAAAGTCAATGATTTGTATGATTTTTCGTGAGCATAGTTGTAGTGTAGAAGCTGTGTATAGTCAGACTGCCACACCCGTCCGCAGAACTAATAATTTTAAGCCACAGCGAAGGCACCCCGATAAAACTGATTTATAAAGGAGCGAATCGCGGCGAGACGTCCCTTAGATTATTAAATTACTACTAGCACGTACATAACGCCGACCCTCTTTCAGGCACTATATGATTAATATGAATATACGATCAGTTAGGTATTTTAATCTACTTAAAGTGGTGTTATTATGAAAGTTTTCACGGTTATTTAGTGGCGGTGGGGTTCGATCCGCGTCGGCCGGGAGTGTGCTGCCGGCTTGTTAGTTGCGGGAAGCTCGAGGAAAAGATTTATGAAGGTTACCGCGTCCCCTGCCCGACCTGGCCCAGGGGAAACCCCCCGCAGAACTAACGACGCCGTTTCGGATTTCTAGCACAATTTACACCACCGAGGGAGCAAATCGGAAATCTCGGCGAAACTTAGATGAAGTACAAATTAATCAATCCGAATGAGGGGAGAGACCCTGAATAATACAACACAGTTTTTGTACCTTTACGATTTTCTTCACCTATTAAGAGAGTTTGAGGTCTTTAAGAATAAGGAAAATTTCGATAAATTACGGATAGACATACATTCTATATAGGGTCAGTAAAAAAATCACATTGTGGTAGTCCTTGAAAATAATATGGTTATCGATCAAGACAACCCTACAGATAAATTTAATTTATATGTATACGAAAGGTCAATAATACCATTTCAATTAAATTTAAATGAAGAATAAAATAGAAAACTACCACTACCCTTTACATTTTACGCTATCTTGCTTTTATAGACAGTGAAAAGAGGTGCCTAGTAAAGTTGGCCTTGTCATGTAATTTACATAAGTGTAACAGATAAACATAACTTAATACCTTAATAAAGTTCGTTGTATTGCCAGTAAATTGTCGACTTGTATTTCATCAGCCAAGTTGAAGTCAAAGCAAATAACTTAATGAAATAAGCGAGCGAGCTTGGCCTAGACGTCAGAGCTGCGCTTATCTGGAAAATTTACTGGCTGGCTGACATTGCCATCGTCGCCTCGCAAATGCCGACTCATTTGCCAGTCCGTTTGAAAAACCCCTCAGCATTAAGTAGTAACGAATCTTCGTTCGAAATACCCACATTTATTTATATCTCGAATATTTAGTAAGCAGGTCTCTATAATTTAAAATTCACGAGCAAAATATAAAAATATGATCTTGCATAATGGAAGGATTTGTGAGGTGTTGGTCAGTTGAATATTTTTGTTTAAAAATCTTTTTAGGGGATCTAAGCGTCTCTCTATGTTTTGCCTGAGTATATTCTGAAATACCTACATTATGTTATGTACTTGGCACAATACGTAAATTAAAACATTCCATAACACTACAGAATCTTATCAACTAGTTAAGTTATAAATGTATCAACGAAGTACTGACAGGAAAACCTCTTACGTTTTTTTCTAAAAAATAATCTTCTGAGAGTCTTCCAAAATGGAAATTATTTCTTACAAATAAAACGTTGCCACAGAGATACCCTGCCTATGAACTCATAAACTCAGCGAGGTAGGCGACGGTGCCGAGGGCTCCATTAACTTTAATACCCTCATAACTACATGACAAAATTTCTACAACAGGAAAAAGCTCTTTTAATTCCGACCGCCAAGGTCTTCGACAGGGAATGACAATATTTTTATACCGCTACAATATAATGTGTATAAAGATAGGTCCACACTCCACCCTAGTGATGACTTAAATAATATTATTACGTATTATTACATTGTACCAATGTCGTACATTGACTTTGTAGTCTCCTAACAAAATACCTAAGGAAGCTGTACATTCATTCCTAGAAGAACGTAAAGACGTGTTTCGATATATTTTGAACAATTATATTAAAATATTATATTACAATAGTAGTTCACATTCACTCGAAACTCGAAAATGTAGTTAGTTTAAGCAAACTAGAGTTATTTAAGTATTGTGAGCACACCATAACTTTGCCTAATGTCTGACTTGCGTTATTCAAACATGTGCTCATAGTTTTTGTTTCTCGCTTTGTCTAAGTCCCGACAACAGACTACACATGCATTTTGTATTGAAAGTTCCTCCACCTCGAGAACTCGAGCTCCCGTTTGCAGATACAGGCAGTGTGCCGGATTAAATATGGCAACATCTACGCGAGCATGCCGAGGAAATAGCTCTATATTATTGTGGATTGTGGAAAAGTTAAATCTATGAAATATGAAATACGAGTTTCGTATAAAATATTCATACTAATGACAATTTCAAAGAAATGGTTTTAATTGAAAGTGTAATTTTTATTTGACTGTACCGAATCTTGAGTCCAAAATGTATAAATTAACATACATATTGTGTGGTCAGTCCTCGGAAGGTTAAACCAATAATAATTATAAATACACTTAGAACCTCTACTCTTATTATTAAACTGCAAAAGTTAATAAATATGTTACATAAAACAATCAAAAGGGCCCTAACCCTTTCACAGACGGCACTCATGATAAACAACAAATAAAACAATATTGACGAAAGACAGAGTACAATAATCTCATATTTCATAACTTGCATTGCAATTTCTAAGGTAAATAAGCAAGTTTCCTGTGGCGAACAAATTTCATATCGTCATAAGCAGGTACCTGGTGAAATTCGAGTCACGTACTCACAGCAGCAAATAATATTATGAGAGAAATCGTGTCTGGTGGGAGTATAACTTTACCGGTATTTCGTCTCCGACGTGGGTGCCTGTCCTTAATATTAAGACTGGGGATACACGTCAGATTTTCCTTCCGATTGTCTGATCAGTCTATCGGATCGTATTCACTCGATAGACGTTGGATTCTTATCTTAGACTTTTTGTTAACAGTCTTGCCTGAACAGGAATAAATCTCAGACTATTCCGTTGTATGATTCGACTATGGAATCGTGTGTATACCGTATTTTTTTATTTTTTCACGTTATCCATATTGTTGACAAAATGGTTAAACAAGCATAAAGTGTAATTCATTCCTGGTAAAATTCCACACATATTGTCTGCATGTATAAAATGAGTTTTAATGAGTGGTTTAACACAAAAATTCTGCGGATTTGTTTGGATAATTAGATTCGACTTTCAAATAAAAAGAGCTAACGTGTATTCATGACAATCGCACTGTACCACCACAAGCGACTCTCAGATTCCCTACGTTGGAAAACGTAACAGAAGCTTCCAAGTATTTTTACAACTAGAAGAAAATATAATCCCTTTCAAGTATTAATTTTACTACAAAAACCACATCATTAACAACATATCCAACTAATATTATAAATGCGGAAGTTTGTGAGAATGTATGTGTATGTTTGTTACCTTTTCACGTCAAATCAGCTGAAAGGATCGAGGTGAAATTAGGAACAGGGGTAGATTATAGTGTCGAATAACACATAAGCCACTATTTATCCCACAGAAACGCGACAAATCCGCTGGTCAGCAAATTATTAATATCAAATCTCATTAATCAAAACTCATTATTAATGAATAATAATATTGATTGAAGGAGAAACGCGTTAGAGATCAATTTAAGCTCCTTTCAAGCTCCTTTTTTTTCAATTAGACCAGGAAGGCACTTTGAACGTCAACAAAAAAAAATTAAAAGTGATGTAATGCTCTTCTGCATAAAACGTTGAATATAGTGTTTTAGTGTCTTAATAGCTCAAATTAACATCAACAGTTCTAATACTCGCAATTAGATTAGAGTATTTCAAAACTATAATTAATTAACTATATAAAGATGTTTATACTATCATAACAAAATATGTTTTACAGTCTGATAAACCCTAAATGCCAGCTTATATTGTTTGCTTAATACTAGAAACCAATAATTCTACACATAAAGCAACTTTTGTTTCACAATATAAATGTTTTGGCTGAAACATTGTTTTGACTAAACGCTCCCTGACCTTCGGACTGAAGAACAAAAAATAAAACTAATTTAGCACATGCCAAGTTGTTTTTAGGCAAGAGAGAAGTTTTCTGTGTTGAGCTACGGCGTAGCCCGACATGACAGCTGCTACGTGTGCTACGGCTACGAGTGCTACGACAATATGCTATTTTATTATTAGTGGCGTTAAACGTACCAAAAGTTCGTGACGACTAAAATACTACCTACAGTAAACGGCTAAGTTTTCCAAACCTAGAGAATGTTGAAAATGTTTAATATTTATGTTGAAAATGGGAACAAAGCCCGCATTACTTCAATTCCAGGCTGTCTGTTTCATGAAACAAACAGACACTGCTGTAGGAACGGGCATAGGAACATTGATAGTGGGAACATAAATGGAATTTTTATTGCAGGTTAGGCTTATTCCGTTACTATCGATTTTAACTTCAACTGTTATCCATAGTTCTATTCTTTTCGATGGTGCGTATTTACTCAGTAGTAGATATTACGTCCGCTCGGTAAATAATGGTAAACCGAGTATTTGCCGTGACAGTAAATGTCAACAGACTGTTCGCTTTGTACCGACTGTTAGAGCAAACAAACGTAATCCTCACCGCTCGGAGGATGAGATAGTCTTCGAATGGGGGGAAGGGTGAACGACGAACGATGAAAGATTGTTCGTTCTCAAATCGGTGAATTGATTCCAGTTTATTTTTCAATTTGTCATTCATATACATAGCGGACTGCATTGGACGCGTGGAATATTGAAGCATTTGTCCTTGTTATGTTGGAGTTATTGCGAACTAACAAACTAGGCGAACTCCGTTTCGCTTAGTGATTAACGATGAAGAAATTTATTTTCCTGAATTTTCTTTGTTATAAACATTACGGAGCCCGAGACCTTTCCAACGAATGCAAACCGTGGAAATCGGTTCGTGTGTTCTGGAGTTATAGCGTCAGGAAGGAAAACCCGACTTATTTTTATATAGTAGATGAAATTATATTTACATATAACCCATGTAGATGGTTTTAACCGACTTAAAAAAAAAGAAAGAGGTTCTCAGTTTCATCTGTACGTATGTATGTTTGTGCTCGATTATCTCGTGATTGTTGAACCGATTTTGATGCAGGTTTCAAAAAAGTATTTGTTACACTTAGGAGAAGCTTTTAGTATATTTTTTAACCGACCGAATCAAAAACGAGGGTCCGAAGTTAGTTTTTTTAAACAATGTTTGTGAAAGAATTATGTATCCCATAACATAACATGATACATAGATAATATATATCTGCCTCGTTGGCCGAGTGGTTGCAAGTGAGACTGCCGGGCAAGGGGTCTCGGGTTCGATTCCCGGGACGAGCAAAGTATTACTGAGTTTTTAAAAATAATCTCAGTAGTAGCACGGAGTCTGGAATTGTGCCCGGTATATGGCAATGGGCTCACCCCCTATTACATGGGACATAACATAAATAGGTAGTGAAAAGTGGGTGTTACATTGTATCTATGTATCTATGTATGTTTTATTATCTTAATTGGAAGCAGCACTGAGTATTAATTATGCACTTTTACTGTTACTCCCACAATTACAAACTTAACCATATACACAGAGTAATAACGACGTTTATACAATTTTAATTAGATCCATTGTTAGCATTTCTATTTGTTTAGAACTAAACAGAATGGCAAGTAATTAGTTTAAGTGAGTTTTGTTATAAGACGAATACAAGATAAACTATGCAAAAGATTGTACGTTAGTTTAATTCATGGAAAGGAACTTCTGCTCACATGGGATATATTGTACCAAACTAAGCTTTTGCAGCTTAAACAGTTTTAGACTAAAGAGCTCAAACACTACAGTAACAGTTAAATGATGAAGTAAGTATTTAAACTTAGACGCTGCTACTGCCGATAGTGAAAACTTTTTAACCCAATACCCTTAATGACTAACCCACACAAACACCTACGTCTATTAAAAAAAAGTCAACAAATATTAAGTAATTTAGACGTTTTATACTTATATTGGTTTAGGACGAGACTGGGGGCTAATAAAATTCAAAGTGGGTCAAAGTTAATAAAAATATTATGGCGGTATATAATACAGGAATGTTCTACGATAGTTGTAGTTAACTACATACAGTAACCACTTGAACTTTCGTGTATAACGCTCATAAAATTATCACGAAGTTACGGCGAAACTTAAAACAAGCTGTTAGTAAATTGATCCGAAAACAGGGGCGGGTATTTAACAGTACATAGTTTAAAATTATGTTAGTGAAGCGTTTTGTTGCTGGTCATACGTACGTCATAAAAACGTAGTTTAACACTTAACTGAGCATGCTGAAAGACAGTTAATTTCGTACTATAGAATAAAACGTGAATGTGTCTACTTATACTACATATTTTAGGTAGGGTACACGGTGTCTTTAATAGACTTAAAAAAAGAGGTTCTCATTTGACCTGTAATTATATATGTATGTATCTATGTTTGTAGGCGGCTATCTCGCAATCGCGAAAGCGAAGCCAAGCGAAGTCAGTTCAGTCAATTGCTACAGTTTTCAGAAAAATGTTTATTACACTTATACACTTAGGAGGTTTTAGTATATTAATTAACCGACTTTAATAAAAGAGGTAGGTTGAAATTGCGTTTATAAACATAGTTTAGGTTAGTTTATAAACATAGACTGCGTCGTTGGCCAAGTTGTCGCAAGTGCGACTGCTGGGCAAGGGGTCTCGGGTTCGATTCCCGGGTCGGGCAAAGTATTACTGGGTTTTCAAAAAAAATCAGTAGTAGCACGAAGTCTGGAATTGTGCCCGGTGTATGGCAATAGGCTCACCCCCTATTACATGTGACTCATAACATAAATAGTGAAAAGTGGGTGTTACTTCTGTGTGCACCTCTGCCTACCCCTTCGGGGATAAAAGGCCTGATGTTATGATGTTATGTTTATAAAATAATTATTTTTATCATAAGCCAATTGGTGCACAATGGAGTGCAAAGTGTTTGTCGTGTTTATCACTTTTCCATCTTATATAACATCATTAACGCCTTATTCTTATTCCTGAAGAAACTTCTATTGAGAAGAATATCAAGTTCTGATTCTATCAAAAGTTTTCCTTCATAATATTCTGAAATATCGACTGATATAACGATAAGTAATAAATACATATAATATACCTGTTCTCTTACTTTTACACCATTATGTTTCCCGAAGGGATGTCCTTAGGGAACTGATCCAACCTTTATCATAATGAGAATATAAACATTTACTTTAATACCGAACTAGCGTGGGATAACTACTAATTGTAACTTGTTTTAAACTTAACTACAATATATTCAAACAATTACGGAATATGAGGACGTCGTTAAAACAGTAGTAACAAAAGCAACTAAATCGTGGGGCTTAAAATTTAAGCCCTATTCGATGCACAAATTAGGATTTTTTACTATGAAAACAATCCTAGATTTATGAAACATAAATTTAGAAGGTTTAAAGGATTAAAATGTTATTTCCTTTTTTACATGACGACATTATTAAATGGTGTTTGTTTTTATTTATTACTAGCTTTTACCCGCGGCTTCGCTCGCGTCACAAAAGGATAAAAAGTAACCTATGTGACATATACCAATACACACAGCGCCATCTATACCAATAATTTTGTTTATCCTCGAGAATATCACATTTTTCCGGGATAAAAAGTACCCTATTATTTAATCCAGACTTCTAACTTCACGTCTGCAAAAATTCAAAGCAATCGGTTTAGTAGTAACGGCGCGAAAGTGGAACAAACAAACAAACAAACTCACTTTCAGATTTATAATATTAGTAAGGATAAAAATTACACGTTGAACTAACATGGAATTACGATATAAGTATTTCTTCGCTATTATATGTCTCTCGGGTAAATGTGTTGACATATTACAACCATTTTACGTAGAGACGCGTAATGAAAGAAAAACATATGTCATGAGTTAATTCCCAGTTCTCATTCAACATTTGAAAAAGAAAATACAACATACCTAATTGTTTAGTTTTTATTAACACCCCATATTATCTACTCTTGCACATGTGTCTTGATCACAAAAGCAACTACCAAACACAAGGTGATATTAGATTTTTAATAACTTAAAAATACTTTTATAAAACTATCGTGAGACATTACTGACTAAACTAAAAATAACGGTTTTACGTAAATATACTGAGAAAAACTACTAGTTTCGAGTTACAGAGGGACTCATCCTCATGAGCAGAATGCGCGGTCGCGGCGACGTTGCGCATTCTACTGTCTAGTGTCTAGTAAAGCTTTTCTCATTGTATCTACCTCTATATAAGTAAATCATTAATTTTTTAATACCTAAAAAGTACGCCCGGTATTTAGCAATAAACTCTAATAACTAGCGAAAAGTCAGTACAATACCTTTACCAAACCTTATAAACAATTACAGATGAAACCACGAATCCTGTTTCTAGCACTCGAACAAATAATTAGGAGATCCTGACAACTTGTTTCGTGTTACAAGTGTCTGGGTTTTATCTGTTTCTTTGTGTTAGTTGGATATTAATTTTGTCTTTTGTTTTATGTTTCCATTCTTGGTATTTTTCATTTGTGCACGAAAGATATAAATGTGCTCGTATGCTTCAATAGACCAGACAAAGGAACTTGAGTAGTACTGTATCTTGGTGGGTATTTTCGTAATACAATAAGAACATACTTATTAGAAGTAAATAGAAAAATGTTCCAGTTATGCGTTTATATAATGGGTTAGCACAATTTCAAGATGAATAATTATTTATAATTTTTTAATAAATTCACGCAGTTTTACGAGTCAAAACACACGCAGGGAAACAACACTTTATTCGGAACCAAGATGTTCATTAAACAAAGGCTGAAGTGATTTGGCATCAACATAAAATGTAGGCAGGTACTAATTACACACTTTGTTAAATACTTAATGATTGAGCCGATCCAGTTCATAGGACTACAACATAGGAACTACTATTAACATCAATATTTAAATAAGCCGTATTCATCAAGTTATTAAGTACTTTTTAGTCAAGTTATTAAGTACTTTTTAGTCATGCCTTTTAAGTAGTTAGTCGAATAACTAATTATTATTAATATGTTAATAGCGGCTACGACTTACAGTCACAGTTGATACAGTTCCAGTTACCTGATTATACAGCCTGTATTATGTGGCAAGCCAGAATTAGGTGAAGAAAGTATATCTAGTACAAAATCTTACCACTACGTATTACTTTGCACCTACATTTTATTAAACCTTTCTAGGTTAGTAGCTTAGGATTACTGTATATTTCTCTTGACCAAGAAATGGTCTACTAAAGTACTTTTTAACGTGTTCAGAAACTGTATGTTTAAATGTACTAGCATATAAAGGGTGACTGTACAATTTAAATAGAGACATTTCTTTTGCGATTTAACAAAATGGCCACTAGTCCATTGAAATACTTTAATAAAATAAAAACAATGATTCTTTTCGTTTAAGCTGATATAGCTACTTTAAGTTTCACTTCAGATAATTGTGTAATATACAAGGATACCCTCTTATTGTGTGTGCCTATTTTAACGTAATATAATTATTTGTAATATTTACATCTTTCTGATATAATTAGAATGCTGAAAGAGTTATTTTCAAGAAAAAAAGCGAAAATAGAACAATCTACTAAAGTGTAACGGAACCTCCTTCTCAATATCAACCTGTTGCATTCTCAAAAGAAATAC